AACAGGTTGATCTGCATCCTTAGACTCACCCTCTCCTCTCCTTAAAGATTTCTTCCTATTTACCTGTTAGTTGTTTGTACATTATAAGTATGTGGGTCCTCTTAGAGGCCAGAAAGAGTGTGTCAGATTCTCTAGAGCTGAAGTTACAGATAGTTGTAAGCCACCCAACACAGACACTAGGAATTGAACTTGGGTCCTCTGGAAGAGTAGTAATAAGCGCTCTTAACTGATAAACCATCTCTCCAGCTCTATAGTCAGGGCTGGAAGTTTCCACGGTATCTTTTCCTAACCTGGGGCTTATTTCATTCTCCTAACAGTGTTTCTCACATAACAGACTTTGACAGATACAATGATGTTTAACAGCATATTTTTCCTTCACAACACTTTTGGTGTTGTACCTTGTACTGGCTGGTTTTGTGTGTCAACTTGACACAAGCTGGAGTTATCACAGAGAAAGGAGCTTCAGTTGAGGAATTGCCTCCATGAGATCCAGCTGTAAGGCATTTTCTCAATTACTAATCAAGGGGGGAGGGCGGCCCATTGTGGGTGGTCCCATCCCTGGGCTGGTAGTCTTGGGTTCTATAAGAAAGCAAGCTAAGCAAGGCAGGGGAAGCAAGCCAGTAAGTAATATCCCTCCATGGCCTCTGCATCAGCTCCTGCTTCCTGACCTGCTTGAGTTCCAGTCCTGACTTCCTTTGGTGATCAACAGCAATGTGGAAAGTGTAAGCTGAATAAACCCTTTCCTCCCCAACTTGCTTCTTGGTCATAATGTTTGTGCAGGAATAGAAACCCTAAGACATACCTAAAAACTCATTTCCAGACCCCAGGGTCATACCAGTGTTCTCGTATGCTACTTATTTTAACTTATAAATTTTAAGTTTTGTTCTTTACATTTAGGTCTGTGACTCACTCTAAATTCCTATTTATTCAACATATAATATCTACAGACTCATTCCTTGGCATGTAGCTTCCTTGTTGTTCCAGCACCATGTTAAAATGACTGACCATTCTCCATTGACTTGCTTTTGCTCTTTTGTTAAAGATCAGGTAGCTATATGGATGTAAATTTATCTCTAATCTTTCAATTCTGTCATGGTGAGGTACTGTTTATTCTTTTGCCAATAGCATACTGTCTTAAGTACTGTGGCTTTACAGTCCATCTTAAAGATGGGCAATGTGAGCCCACCTTTTGTTTTCATCAGTAGATATGAAATACCAATAATCTGTCCCTAACACAGGGCTCCTAAAACTCTTGTAAATGAAGGTGCTAGAAAAATCTTTTCATGTTTGACACTAGTCCTGTCACAGAACCCCTAAGATTTAGGAAATTAGTTTCCTGAGTTATAGAAGGATTTGACCCAGATTTTCCTATCTCTTAGAATTTCCTGTGTAAGGAGGACAGCTTTTGTTCTGAAACAACTCCTGATAGACTCCTAGATCAGTGCCAGATACCAGAAAAGACCATGGTTAGATGGCCTCCATCCCAGTCTTCCAGGAGGAGAGAACAGAGAAGTCAGTAATAATCATATCCTCCCCCAAATTTCTAATCCATGGAGTTTGCAGAACTTCTAGGTTGGTGAACATCTCAATATGTGAGGGGGTGACGAACTCAGCTCTAACAGGACAGAAACTCATGTCTAGATCCTTCCAACCTTTCCCTCTTTATTCATCTGTATCCTTTAAAATTAGCCACCAAATGTGTTTGAGTGCAGAACTATTCTAACAAATGGCTGCCCCAGATGAGGGAGCTGTACAAGCCTCTTACAGCCAGCTGATGGTCATCAGTACAATCTTCCCATAAGACTGACATCTCAAGTAAGGGTAGCCCATGAGACTGAGCCTTAACATGTAAGTTTTGTCCTAACTCTAAGCAGACAGGATTAAAACTGTAAAACATCTAGCTGAGACTGAAGAATTGCTTGTTATGGAAAGACCTCCCACTCATCTGGTGGTAGAAGTAAAATTTTGAGTTTTGTTAGTGAGAATACAGAATAAAAACTTTTGTTTTTTTTTTCTATGTACTGGGTCTTTGCAATCACTTCATTGAATCTACAGAATAACTAGCTGGGATGTTGACTGGGACTGTGTTCAACGTTCACATCAGCATGCAAACAACTGACACTTCAACAATAGTGAGTTTTCCTCTCAAAATGTGGAATGGCTTCCCATTCACTTAATCTTTGATTTCTTTGGTTACAGTTCTAATCTACTTCATATGGGTCCTGTGTATGTTTTAGATTTACTTATAAGCACCTCTGTTTTAGAACTTTTACATTTTAATTGTTGCTGTAATTTAAATAATGTCTGTACAGTTCAATCTCTCATTCTGTTATGTAACTATAATCACTTAATAGTTTCAGGAGCTTTTGGTTGGGTCTTGGGAGTCATTATATAGATAATCATGCCATCTGCAAACTTATTTCTTCCTTCTCTATATTTTTTTCCTTTTTAAATTTTATTACATCAGCTAGGATTTCGAGTACACAGGACTCACACAGCAGAGGTAAGTGGAAGGCATCTTTACCTTGTACCTGTCTTAGGAGAAAGGTTATCTAGTTTTTTGTTATCAAAGCTGTTAGTTGCTTAAGATTCGGAATGGATTTTCCTTAATTAAGGTACAGAAACCTCTACTCCTGGTTTGCTCCAAGCTGGTTTTTTCCCCTTTGTTGTTGTAGTTTTGGTTTTTTATTTGTTTGTTTTTTATCATGAATGAAGATTTTTCTGGATTTTTAAAAATTCCTTTCTACATCTACTGATGTGATCATATGATGATTATTCCTCCTTTAGACTGTTGAAGTGATAGCAGTAATTGATTTCAAATATTAAATCAGCATTGCACACTTGGTTCCTGTATAATTATTTCTATTCATTACTAGATTTGGTTTAATATATTGCTAAAGATCTCTGCATCTGTGTCCAAGAAAGATAGTTTATAAAGTTGCCTTTTAAAAATATAAACAAGCTGTGAAATCTCAGAACAAAGAGTCAATTACATCTAAGTAGCAAATAGTTGGATCTGATTGTGTATTGTCCTGTTTCCCCTCTAATCTGTAATACACTTGTCTGATTGTGGCGAGATGGTTTTAAGTTTCAGAAGCACAATCAGACAAGTGTATTACAGATTAGAGAGAAAACAGGACAATTAGCAATGAAGGAAAGCTGAAGTCAGTTGCAGCATTTCAAAAGCATGAAAGGCTGCAGTACACAAAAGCTTCCTTTAGTTCTTCAGTTATGAATCAGAAGAGGAAGAAGGAAAACAATCAGTCCCAGAAGAGGAAAGACATGATAACTGAGTACATGAAGAAAAACTACATTTCCCTTAACAGGCTGAGCCAGAATGACACCTTACAGGCTCTTCTGACTTACAGGTGCTAAGACCTGAGCCACAGCTTCAGCCAGGATGTAAACAAGGCTTTGTGACACTAAAGTTTTTCTCTGCCTAGGGCTACTCTATCTAGAAAGTTAACTTTTTTACACAGCTACCCCACCTTTTTCCCCCCTATTACATCAATAAAATGTTTTTTTTTTTAAAGATCTATTTGTTTTATGTATATGAGCTCACTGTAGCTGAGCTACACACCGGAAGAGAGCATTGGATCTCATTACAGGTGGTTGTGAGCCACCATGTGCTTGCTGGGAGTTGAAACTCAGGACTTTTGGAAGAGCAGTCAGTGTTCTTAACCACTGAGCCATTTCTCCAGCCCCCAGTAAAATGTTTTAAAGACTGTTTTATTAGCTTTTTCACTTTGCAGTTTCAAACTTTCCCATTTCTTCTTGTTGGCAGCTTGTCTAGCTAGCTGAAAACTGGAATAAGCCCAACCTAGCAGGGCAGGGGGTGAAACAAGAAGGTAGAGGGATGATAGACAACATCCAAAGACTGAGAGGGGGCAGGGGCTTTGCCTATGAGGAACTGTTCAACAAGGGGAAGCCCATGCATTCCCATGATGTCAGAACCCATGATGTCATCTGCTTTCTGTTGGTTTTAGGTGGCTGAATGCAGAAGACTTGTAGAATGGTACTATGAACCTAGCATGGTGAGCAGGTTTTTATAAAGAGTATCTTAAACTTAATGCTGGAGGACACACACACACACACACACACACACACAGAGATTTGATTTATAATGGATAGTGTCAAGAACACTAGAATGTGAATGGAAACAAAGGAAAGGATAACTGTGCGACCTCAAATGTGCTGGACTTTTAAGAAAGGAGATTTTAGGAAGAAGTATAGGAAGAGAATAGGTTAGATAGTCCGGTAGCTAAAGGCCCTGGAAGAAACAAACTACCCTGGAAAATAAGGAATCTGAAGAAACCAGTGACCCTGCCTATAAATAGGCAACTCAGGATTTAAAAGGCCACTGACCAAAAGGAACAGCAGCAGAGTTTACTGAAACAAGCTGTGTCCACACAAACTATCTTCCTGTTTCCACCTTTCTCTACCCTCTTGTTCCTTCCAAAACCAGCTCATCCTCTCTCCTGGCTCTAAGAACTTAGTTATTACACCTAGACTCCTTTGCCTATCACATTCCACTTTAAGCTGTGAGGATTCCGAGTCCATGCTACAAAGCCTGATGTTCCCACAGTGCCTGTCAGCAATGCCTCCAAAGAATGGATAATAAGGGAACGCACCAACCAAAAGTACTTTGGAGGGTGGAGGTGGGACAAAGGAGGCTGTTTTCATGTTTGTGTTTCTGTTTTTGTTTTGAGACAGGGTCTTACTGTATACCCCAAGCTGGCCTGGAACTCACTATGTGGTTTCAGCTGCCCTTGAATCTGTAACCTTCCTGCTTCAGTCTCCCAAGGGCCAAGATTACAAGCATGACCACAAGGCTTGGCTCTGAGGTCATGCTTCTGAAGGAAAGCAGAGAAGGTCCAGTGTAAGAACAGACTTGGAACTTGCACTTAGATTACACTAAGACCTAATCTAATTCAAATTTGTTCTGTAACAAGGAGAGTGAATAGGGACAGTCACCAGAAACTGCAAAAATAGCACAGTACCTGCAGGAGGCTTTCTATGGCATGAAAGCCTCGAATTAAATTCAGAGCTCCACATAAAAGACTAAGGATAAACGCCACAATCCCTGACAGAGTTGCCGGTTCTAGTCGCTGATGGGCTGAAAAAGAAAAGGAATGGTTAGAAATGAATACCAGAATCCCTTGTTAGTTGAGCTTATGTGGACAGAAATTCACTGCTTAACTTAGATGAGTCAAATGTAAATAACTTTAAATAACAAATCTTAGTAATTAAAAAGTAATTAAACAATGTGTGTAGGCAAAGGTTCTCTGTGTAGCCCTGGCTGTCCTGAAACTTGATCTGTAGACCAGGCTGGCCTCAACTCAGGGATCTGCCTACATCTGTGCAGTAGATTTAAAATTGTGTGCCACAATTTCAAGCTTAAATCTTTTTCTAAAATGCAAACTGCTTGGCAACATTAAAAAGTCCCATTCTAAAGTCAAATGGAACTAACATTGCTTTTCTACATTTTAGTAGATACTTCTAACTTCTATTTGAGGTAAAAAGAGTACTATAGAGTACTCACATCTGTCAGTAAATCACTTAGGGAAAAAAAAAACCTACTGCCCAAATATGTGTACAATTTGCAATGTGGTACAAGTGTCTGCAAAAGATGACTTTGCTTGGAGAATAAATACAAAACTCTATATTTTCTGAAAATGTTTAGAAAACACTTAAGGATAACCATAGCTTGCTTTTAGCAAAGGCCACTTATCTAGGACTAATGGCTATGAACACCGCTGGCTATATGTGAAAGTCCACATTTAGTCACCACCCAAACTTGTCAACAGGATGCAGTCTTAAGCTGCAAAGACTGGTCCCTTTGGTCTTTTGAAGCAAAGTGACAAAAACAAACCAAAACCAAAACACATCAGCTAATATTGACCATTTCATCTTCACAAAGGCATTCTTTAATTTTCAGGTTTCAACAGAATAAAATATTCTGTTATACAATCACTTCCCTTCATGATCATTTTATAGTTATTAGGCTTTACAATTGTGCCTAAATGAAAACACAACTAAATACATAATCAGTAGACTTCAAAAGGAACACTGGCAAAGAGAGAACAACAGAACCACATTTTTATTACTTTATTTAAACCACTGAAGTATAAAAGCCCAACAATGAAGTTAATGAGGCAGAACGTTAATAAAGGAAAAGCTCAGATCTTTGCAAATTATAATCAGCCATCATAACAGAAAAGATTCCCCAAAGAGTTAATAAAAAACCCCAAAACCCACATCTCCTGGATATTCTTCAGGTTCAGCAGAAACTACTAATCTAGAATAACATTTCATAATTTCTTCTGTGCCCATGTCTGGCCTTTCAATAAATTCCCTTCAGACTCTCATATGAAAATAGAAAACCAACTGTACAGTACTGATACCATGGTGTTTCAGCAGTTGAAAAAGTCACAACTAGTCCTGTTTTATAGCAGCTCTCTGTCCTCGGTCCTCCCTCATAAAAAGCAAATGGGCTCTAGGAATAAAACCAACTAACAACTGAATAATTATCAAATCATACTTCCATAGAAACAAGGTACCTCACCAAAAATGAAAACAACAGCAACAAAAACAAAACCCAAACAGTGAAAATCCTAGCTCTACTTGGTCAAGTAAGATATGTTCAAAAGAAAATCACTACCATTTTCATGTGTTGATGGCAATATATTTAAGAAATGAACAAGCCAATATAAATGATTAAGTTTCTAACACTTGCTTTTTGGCCTTAGAACATGTATTTTATAATAAGAGTATACCATTTATGAATTCATCACTTCAAAATGACCAAAGATATTTTTAAAAGGTAAAAGCAAGTGCTAGCCGGGCGGTGGTGGCACACGCCTTTAATCCCAGCACTTGGGAGGCAGAGGCTAGCCTGGTCTACAGTGTGAGTTCCAGGACAGCCAGGGCTACACAGAGAAACCCTGTCTCGAAAAAACAAACCAAAAAAAAAAAAAGCAAGTGCTAAACCTCTTTCTTTCTTTCTTTTTCTTTTTTTTTTTTGTTTTGTTTTGTTTTGTTTTTCGAGACAGGGTTTCTCTGTGTAGCCCTGGCTGTCCTGGAACTCACTCTGTAGACCAGGCTGGCCTCAAACTCAGAAATCTGCCTGCCTCTGCCTCCCAAGTGCTGAGATTAAAGGCATGCACCACCACTGCCCGGCTTGCTAAACCTCTTTTAATGAAGATAAGGCAAGCACTGTGCACAAAGGTAGGTTGGCACTGTGACAACTTACTGTGGGCAACAATTTCTAATGTGATTTCCTTGCTTTATCTTCCTCACCCCTTTCCTGGGACCTGTGGCTTATTTTCTAAGAAGTGTTTTCAAGCAAACTTCACCCTGAAAATGTAAGAGGTTTCACCACAGAAGGCAATTTCCCAGTTTGATAAGCAAACAAGACATTTAACCACTTGATAAAGTATTATTTTGTGTGCTATTTGTTACTTCAGTGAGACAGATTCTAGATACACTGTAAACCAAATAAAGTTTGTAGCACATTTCAGTTTGGCACCATGCCAGGCACTAGTAGGTATAGTGGGTACCTACTCTATAACAAATGAGAGCCATGTAGGAATATCACGAAGCCAGGTGGCACTGCCCCAACAGTTTTTTCATTTTGCTACTGTCAGGAATTGGGGAAGACAGATGTGGAAGAATAAGATATATGCAGATAACCAAAGACAACTACAGGGGGCAGGAGGCGGGTGCTTCCATAAGGAATATGTGGCTAACAGTACCTACAGACGGGCCAGGAAACATCTGCATATAAAAATTAAATAGTATCCAGTCTATTGTCCAAGAGATGTTTGTTGATGCTATAAGGCAGTCTCAGGAGGGAAGAGGAGGTGAAGTTCAGACTGTAAGAAGTGAAGTGCATGCTGATAAGAGCCTGATATGGATATCTCCTCAGAGGCCTTCAAGAGTCAGACATATTCAGAGGCAGATGCACACAACTAGCCATTGAACTGATCATGGGGTTCTCAATAGAGGAGTTAGAGTGAAGACTGAAGGAGCTGAAAGGGTTTGTGGCACCATGAGGAGAGCAACAATACCAACCAACCACAGCTCCCAGGGTCTAAACCACCAGCCTGGGAGCACTTGGGGGGGATCCAGGGCTTCAGCTGAATATGTAAAAGTGGAGGGCCCTGCTGGGCATAGGTGGAAGAAGAGAACCTTGACCTCATGAAGGCTGGATGCCCCAGGGGGTGGGAATTTTGAGGGTGGGGAGGTGGGAGTGGGGGGGGAGTAGATAGAGGTTACATCCACAGAGAAGAAGGAGGAGGGGCGAGGGGATTGGGGGTTCCGAGGGGGTGGTGGGGGATGGGGTAAGGGGACAACATAGGAAATGTAAATAAATCATCCAATAAAAAAAAAATAAAATAACTATTGCACAGAAAAAAAAATAAATATGTATCAAAAAAAAAAAAAAAAAAAAAAAAAAAAAGAAAAAGTTTCCTGGCCCTTAGCTTACAGAGATCTAGTGTTTTATTACCCCATAGAGCATTATTTTGGTATACATTATTAATCTCATGGTGATAGTACTTGAAAAAACAGATAGTAGTATATGCCCTAGTTTAGATGCCTTAAGATACACGCATGCTAGACACTAAAAGACAACCACAATCATAGGAGAGCATCATCTTGGTCAGCTACTGGTGGTCAACAGTTTAGAATATGTTGGTAGTAAGAATCAAGTTCATGCACCAGGCAACTGACACCACTAAGAGAAGATACATTACTGATTAGCATGCTTTTTTTTTTTAACATTTCAAAGACATCAGTACATTTCTGCACATTTATTGAATCAGTTTACTGAATGCCAGCAGATGAGGGCCCAGAAAAACAGAACGCTACATGACACTCACGGGTTCAATGCAGTGCTGTGCAAAATACCTCCAGAAGGCAGGAGTGATGCCCCGAAACCCAGACAGACACTAAGAAAAGATCCTGGGTATGAAGTAATGACATGGTCTTTTGGCAAGGAACTGTTTCCACTTTGAAAACTGATTTTAGCTTGTTAGTCATGGTAGAACTTAACTTCACCCCACAGTGAAATATAGTTATATACTATAAAGGCAAAAATAATCACAAAAAAATGAAAGAGATATGGGTAATAAGCCAGCAAAGAACAGAAAATTAATTTCAAAGATGAAGGTAGCTAGAGACAAAGGTAATCAAAACACGACATGACAAAAGGAAACCTACAGAGATGCCTCAACAATGAGTACTAGCTGAGGCTCCTCCAAGGGTCCAAGCGCAGCTCCCAGCATCCACACAGAGCAGCTCACTAACTGCCTGGAACTCCAGTTCCTAGGAATCTGACACCCTCTTCTGGACTCTGTAAGTACCACACACATGTGAACATACATTAAGAGACACACAAATAAAAAGAAAAAGAAAATAGCCAAAAATGATACATTAACACCCAATGATTCCAATAATGACATTAATTGGGGTTTTTTTGGTTGTTTTTTTTTTTTTTTTTTTTTTTGGTTTTTTCGAGACAGGGTTTCTCTGTGTAGCCCTGGCTATCCTGGAACTCACTCTGTAGACCAGGCTAGCCTCAAACTCTCGAATTCAAGAAATCCGGCTGCCTCTGCCTCCCAAGTGCTGGGATTAAAGGCGTGTGCCACCACCGCCTGGCAATGACATTAATTGTAGATGAACTAAATATCTAATTTTTAGAAAGCCAAGATAATAAATAGGATTTTTTTAAAGGATGCAACCAAATGACAACTATAAAACACCACTTTATTTTCCCATCCCATGGGGCCAGGGGGACTAGTTTATTTGATTAAACAAAAATAAAATAGGTGCACAGGAACAATTTTGAAGTCCGAAAAGACTTGCTACTTCCCCAGCCTTCGCTGTGGGCCACAGCAACTTTTTTTTTTAATTGGATAGTTTATTTATTTACATTTCAGATGTCATCCTCTTTCCCCATCCCCCCCTCAAGAAACCCCCTATCCATCCCTCCTCCTCCTTTTTCCTTTTATACCATTTTAATTACATTAATAGTCAAGGAACAAGCAAGACAATAAACACAAATAGTCAAAGAACAAACAAGGCAAAAACCAAAGTTCCGTGAACACTCTGTGA